CCCTCCCCTCTCCCCCCCACTTCCCCTGTCGGCTTCCTCCAGCACCCCCCCCTCCTCTTTAATACTTAGAACTTTAGATATCTGTAAAGATCCCCGGATCCCCATCAGCACCGACTCTTTTGATACCAATACTGGTGATAGGCCGTCTCCACTCGAGTACATAACGGCCGATCGTTGTAAACAACGCTGAAAAGCACTCTCAAATGTGGACTGGCTGTTTAGTTTTCGCACACTCGGTTCTCTACCGCTGTATGAAAAACCTTAAGGGCTACTCCTGCCATTCGAGAAGCTAGTGGTTAAACAGGACTCAGAGATGAGAATCCCTCCATTCTTGGTGCATGGAGGAAACTTTCATTTTCCTGTAAGGCAGTCGGGCAGGAGGAGCATGTTCATGGAGGTTCCCGGTGTAGGGTGACATTTGGAAAGCTGCAGCTTCAGTCCTGGAAGGAGTTCAGCTCTCTGGTTCAAATAAGGAAAGAATTGCCCGGGAGATGTATGAGTTTCTCGGATAGTTTCTTCTTGAATAGGGTTACATTGAATTCCAAACTGGCTTGTTTTGCATTTTTCTGCTCAGTTGTGGTGACTTTTTAACAACTTAAAATAGCGTCTTTACTTTCCTGTTGTAATTCTTGTGGGGTTTGCTTGCTTGCTAATAATATATCTTCATTAGATGAAGCCCCAGAGGTAGGCATGTATTTTTAGCAGTGTACCAGACACCAAATAGGTACCTAGTAGGGGCTAGGAATGTGGCTTATTGGTAGAGTGATTGCCTAACATGCATGAAGCCCTAGGTTTGATTCCTCAGTACTACATAAACAGAAAAAGCTGGAAGCAGTGCTTGGCTCAAGTGGTAGAGTGCTAGCCTTAACCAAAAGAAGCTCAGGGACAGTGCCTAGGCCCTACGTCCAAGCCCCAGGACTAGCAAAAAAGAAAAAAAAGGTACATAAAAGAAGATAGGTACTAATAAATACTGAGTAATTGAAAATTTCATGGTATAAATATGGGTAGCAGTTTCAAATACAGTCTCTTCAATTTTTTTTCGTTTTACACTATACTGATACATATTTTTAATAGGTAATGCCCACCTCTTTTATTTATTTATTTGATCATGGGGCTTGAACTTAAGGCCTGAGCACTGTCCCTGAGCTCTTTTTTGGCTCAAGGCTAGCGCTCCACCACTTTGAGACACAGCACCACTTAAAACAGTTTTCTGGCGATTAATTGGAGATAAGAGTCTCTCAGGGATTTTTCAGCCTGGGCTGGCTTTGAACTGTAGTGCTCAGATCTCAGCTTCCTCAGTAGTTATGATTACAGGCATGAGCCACCTGCCCCCAGCTATGCCTACCTCTTATAGAAACCACACTTCTTGAAATTACCATTTACTGTTGTTTTCTCTTGTTGATCTGCCTTTTCTAGCTATCCTGTCCTTAATTCCAAGTTTTAGTTCTTCCTCCATGTTCTTAAGGATGGATATGGGGATTCTATCCTCAACTTTTTCAGTTCGTTAAACATTTCATATCTTTTATCTGTAATTTCCTCTTTCATGGGATGCCTTTGCATTTGGCAGAAGTCCTTCTAACCCAAATTTAGTATTATTTGTACCTTGTATGCCCTCTACAATAATACTTAAATTACTTAAGATTGTGAGATCTTTGAGGGTAGAGTTGTTTTCTTTCGCCAGTGATTTTTTTATATAGAAGTTCGCAGTATGTCTGTGTTTAAATTCTTCTTTATTTAATGGTGTTTTTAATTTGTGTTGTAGAACTCCAGAGGACTTGGATCTCAGCTAAAGGACAGTATTCCAGTTACTGAACTTTCAGCAAGTGGGCCTTTTGAAAGTCATGATCTTCTTCGGAAAGGGTATGTGTGGAGGATGTGGCTTCACCTTCATTGATTTTTCACAATATTTGTTAAGTATCTTGAAAGGTTGTAAATGTATGTTATTGTAGGAGGTAGCAAGTAATACACCTGGACAGGGTGAGATGGGAAAGAAGCATCTTATTAGAGGAATAGATTCCCAGGATAAGACATCTTCCTAGTGAGTGGTACCTGGAAGCATGATTTGGTAGAAGTTTTCATTTTCCTACTGAGAACTTGGAGCACCATTTTCGTCCTTAGGCTTAATTAACTATTGGATTAACGTGCTTTTCTTTTGGAGACACTAGAACATAGCAGATAAGAAGACTCAGGCTGCTGGCTTTGGATCACAGCTGTATTTTCTGGATTGTATGCCTTTGGGCAAGTAAAATAGCTGAGTCCAGTGTTCTTAGCAATGAATTAGGGTTAATACAGAGTTTATCTTATTTTTAGGAATAAATGAGTTTAAAATTTGAAAATAACCTAAAATAGTAAAACAGTACCTGGCATCAGTAACCACTCAGAGAGTGTTTACTGTGTCTGTTTCTTCCCCCCCTTCCCCTACACTGCTCTAGGTTTAACTCACAATGTTTAACTTTTTTCTTTTGATATATATTTATGTGAATTTTAACACATATATCATTTCCTGTAATTACCACTACAGTCAAGATACAGAACAGTTTTATCACCATCACCTTCAAACCCCTTCATGCCATATATTATGATAGAGGGTTTTTTTTGGTGGTAGTTTGGAGGGGGCAGGGGTTGGAGGGATTGAACCCTAGGCTTCATGCATACCAATTACATGTCCTGCTACTAAGCAGCTTGTTCAGTCCCAATCGCTGTGTTGTTGTTGTCACACATTTGACAGATGGGATTTTTAGATTTTAGGTATTTAATGATATGTAATCTCCTTTTTAAATGACTTTCTTCTCTAGTTTTTCTTGTGTGAAAAATGAACTTTTACCAAGTCATCCTCTTGAATTGTCAGAAAAAAATGTAAGTATGTTACATTTTTATCCTCTAGTAGAAAAAATACTTTCAATAATACTTTTTTAGTTTATTTTATTAAAATAATGTGGTGCTGAGCATTTTACCATGAGTCCTCATTTCCATTCACCTTTTAGGATTGGCTTCTTTATGGTTATACCATTTCACTAAAGTTCCCTTTCCATGTATTCTTTTCTGCTTTTTAACAGATGTCACTGAAGGTTGTGCATCTCTCTGTTCCTTTCATAATAATTTTCTCATTCACTAAACTTCCCTTTGCCATTTTTGCTGTTGACATCAAAGTCCCTCTATCCAGCTTTGACTATTTTCAGGTTACTCAGATACATAGCCACCGGGCATAGTAAGTGCACAAGTAGATAGGACATAATGCTCATTTTAAGATAAAAAGTTGAACTTTAAATTAAAACTAAAGTTTAATTTTTTTTTTTTTTTTTTTTTT